GTGTGTGTGGGGGGGGGGGGGGGGGTTTCTTTTCTGGGCTCCAGGCACACCCAGAATGTCTTTCACCCTCACTTAGTCTTTCAGCAGCATTCAGCAAATTTCAGGTCTGCAAAGCTGACCTTGCAAACTTAAGTGTACTTATGTGTCACTGAAATACCTCTCTCAAGTGAGATGGAAGACTTCTCTTCCAAGGTAGCAGTCTGATGCCAGTGCGCTGGTGTTCTCTCCTCAGGGTGTCCTTAATATGTTAACAAGAAAATATTTTGGGCATCTCAGCATTGTCTCATTTGACAAGTGATAAATGCCTCTCTGAGCATTTCCTTATGCTCCCTAACAGTCTGCCAAGATGTTTCCAACCTTGGTGCGAAGGGGTCATCAGGCTTTTATCTGTATTTGGTAGTGTTATATGCCTCAAAAATTACAGTAATGCAAGATACACTGAAAAGAATCATCTAAGTACTGAACAAATATGGCATTTTTTCAGATTTCATTAGGAGTGAAGGAATAGTTTTTTGTAGCTCTAAAGGCATGTTAGCACATGACTCCGCATGAAGAGAGCATCACCTTTTAAAAGATGAAAGCTTTTGTTTCTTGCTAAAAAGATTTCAGGAACAGTCGTCAGGAGTGAGCACAGTTCAGTTAACTAAGGAACAGTGTTTTGTGAACTTCTGACTGGGCTTATCTTCTGTTTGGCAGGCATTTGCCTGAGACGGGACTGTGGCAGCCAAGGAGACCCTCTCCAGCCCTGTGCTTTGAGGAAAGCTGACATTGGAATGGGCTGATGATGAGCCTGGGGCTCCAAGCAGCTCTGTTACAGTAGTCAACCCATACCTCTCATCCAACAGTGGTCTTCACTGCTGAAGCAGGAGCTTCATACTGCATGTCATACCACGCAGGTGTGTGATGTACCTGATGGGCTGAGCCTCCAGGCAGCCCGCAGTGTGGGCTGCCCAGATGCTTGCCCAGGTTTCTGCTCTGTGGAGCAGGGGATGCGACACAGGTTTCCATGCTGCTGATGTTCAGCCGGAGGACAACCCCCACAGCATCAGCTTTAAGGTGCTTCACTGGCACTGCTTTAGCCAATTACCTCCAGGTAAATTTTTAATCTCACTAGGGGTTTAAAACTTTCCTGGTTGTTTCAAGAATTTTTTTCAGGATGAAGATACTCCAGTCAGGCTGAATGTTTGAGCTGTGCCTTATTTATTATGCAGAAAAACTCCAGTGTTTCAGCATGCAAGATGGAGCAGGAACTTCTTCCAAGTTTAGCTATGCAAGATCAAGCCTTTCTTGACAAGGGCTTACTTTATTCTGGTTAGTCTCAGAATCACAACTTGTGATCAGTTACCTACAGTTCCTGTTTGTACTTGTGCACAACTTTAATTAAACTTTCAGAATTAATGAAGTGATTGAAGTTGTTGTCACCAAATTCATAAGACCATCAGGGACTTGAAATGAATTTTATTAAGAAATTCAGTTTTATACCCTATTGTAGAAGGGACACTGCTTTGGAAATGGAGCTGATACTGGCATTTGCCTTTAGATAGGTCACTTCATATCCAGTTGAATTCATCTGAAAAACCATGAAATAATGGCATGTATTTTCTCCAGTGCTCCTTCTAAAGATGTCTTCAGCTGTTGATTTTTATGATTTTTCATTAACGAAATCGAAAAGAGTGTCTCGCTGCTGGATTTCTCTAAGCAATAATTTTCAAAGTTACTTGCTAGGTGACTTCGGCTGTATGCTGTGGAGCTGGAAGGTTCTGTCTTCATAGCTTTGCTGTCATTAAATCACCAAGCGAGGGGCTGGCCTGCAGTTGGAGGTGTTTCCTGCCACTGACTTTGCGTCCTGATGTACCACCTTGTCACTGAACGTGAGAATCTCCCTCCTCCCGTTGTCCTAGAAGTTTCCAGAGCATCTTTGGTTGAGTTTCTGGTAAGGGGCATTGTGGCCAAGCCTGAAACAGGGCAACTCCTTCACTGCAACTGCAGACCAGCACCGCCCAGCCTGTTGGAAGCTACTGTGACAGAATCCATGGGGAGCAGAAAAAGCAACTTTTTCCTTGATGTGTCTGTGGATTGTGCCTCCTCTGAGCTTTGCTCTCTGAAGAGCTGACAGTGGGGTATGGTGGGTATTGGTTTGGGAGCCATGTTCTTGAATGGAAGGAGGGAATTTCACAGGTATAAGATTGCAAGTAGAAAAGGCTTGTGATCTTTGAAAGCCACAATCAATCCCCTCCCCGCCCCCACTAAATGTAGTATTTCTTTCACTTGGATGCAAATTCCCATTTCTTTGAAACCTACTGTGTGAAACATCAGTCCTTCTTTTGCAATGGCTTATGGGCTGGGTCCTGGGCAGGAGCTGGGCTTGGCTGGAGAAGTCACCTGTGTTGGCTGGTGCGGGGAGCAAGTGAAAGGCTGAGATGAGAGAGGAGGGGATGGGTTGGCAGAAAAAAGCAAGTAGGTTGGAAGAGAAGCAGATGAAAAATGGATTTTGACTGAGAAAGAGACTAGGGAGGATGAAGGAAGTGGAGGTATGTTTGGGGTTTATTTTTTTAACTGAAAGGAGGGTTGTAAAGGATCTTGAGAAGACCAGGGATGGTGGGAAGGTGGTTTTAATTGCAGATGTGCTGCTTTGCGATATGCAAATGTGGTTTTGTTCTGTTCTGCAGTATTTGTAGGCTACATCCAGAGAGTGGTGCTGATAAATAATTGGTCTACCTAGTATGCTTGTGTTTATGGATGTCTGTTGCTCAATATATATCCTGCTTCAGTGTTTCTATGTGGGGAAATTTCTAAGAGACAAGGATGTCAGAGATATGAGTAGAGAGCGGGAATTGTTATTCTATTTTAGGGTAATAAAATGGCACTAGGAACTGCTATGGTACCTTCCTGGGTAGGTTTGTGCATAGTTTTTGAGACTTAAAACTAGAGCTGACTCTG